CTTCATAACACTAGTGGTCGCAATAGATTCAACTTTTTGCGTCATTCTGGCTTCACAACCCTCATCCCCATTGCGTAAGTGATAGTAACACGGTTCATAGAGTTTGGTGTAATCACTTTGAATGCATTCTCTACGTTCATTCTGTCTACTACTATATTGCAGAATTGCATTTTTCATATCAAATTTCAAGCAAAAGTCGAGCAGTTTTCTGCTATCGTCTTTTATCGTCTTTTACAATCTTCCCGTCGGGTGCCCCAAATAGGGAGTACTACAAGTGCAGATGATTCCGTTTCGAAGGAAATGTTGGTATCTAGATGAGAACGCGTAGAATTCATGCAGACCTCTGGCCAAGGGGAGCTATATCCGACACTCCGAGAATGGATTAAGGTCGAGTTTCAAAACTGTAAAAATCTGATGATTTTGATACAGGCTATTCTATCGCTAGGTTTCATGTTATATGGCAAGAGTAAGAGCAGAGCTTTATGCTACCGAGCGCATCCTCAGGTCTCGGAAAGGCGAACGGCCGCTAACTGGCGATTAACTGTGAATAAAGTGGGTTTATTCTCACTGAATAAGCGGTCGCGGACGATCAGCGGCAGTGCTTGAGGATGTGATGGGTTTACCACTTGTCAAGGGTTCTCCACAAAAAACACCACATGTATCTGTGGACAGCGCTGTGGCGCGGTGACCGTGGCCCACCACTGAATATGGTCATTGTCCTCTTGTTGAATTCCATCTACTCGACAAATTCTTTCAGAGAAGGCGAATAAACCAACCGACCAATCACCGGCTTATCTGGAACAATACTGCTACCTGGTAGCTGGCGCTTGGTTGCGTAAAGGCTTGAGTGAATCGAACAAGGCCTACTCTGAACTGGGCGACCGAGTAGTACAACAGCCCACAATGCAACTAAAATGAACTTCGCCTTAAGCAATAACTCGCTCTTTCAGTTTTACTCGCTTGTAAAAAACGCTTTACAACGTACACATCTTCCTTTTTTCTAGTTTTTCTTCCACCTCACATTCACCCCCTGAAACATTCCCATTACCATCAAGATCTTCAGATAATCATACTACCAGTTGTGCCTCCGATGGAAATTCCGTCCCAGCTCTCTCGCGTCCTGCCCCGAATAGCGTCCAAGTCACACCGAATCTTTCTCCACCAGTTGAAGCTCTTCTTCTTCCTCGATACCCATTTGAACTAACTATATTTAACGTGCGTATCTTTACGCGTATAGGACAACAGACGTGTTTAGCTCGTACCCACGAGACCCTAGCCAAACGCTACACGACCTCATGCGTAAGGCAAATCCAGCTTAAATCGTGATTTTGGCGGGAGATATGAATGCTACATCTGGGTGGTCCTTTCGGAATAGATTCCTGTCGCTCCGAAAACGGAGTGGTTGTTGGCTCTATGTTCTAACCACCGCCTTTTCCTCGCCAGCACGAACTTCAGACACTCCAACTGCCGATACGCCACTTGGCGTCCACCCTCCTCGAGTCAGCGACTAACGCAGCTAAACCACATTGCCATAAGCCACAAATGGCGGGGTTGCATACAAGACTACCGATCGTACTGGAGCACTATCCTCGAATCCGATCACGCGTTAGTTTACATCAAGCTGTCTATGTGCTTTGGTGGGCGTCCTAACCGTACGGCACAGCGGCGGTTAGATTGCGATAAGTTGTCCCAACCAGCATGCTCAGCCATCTTTTAAAATGAGCTAGCTGAAAATGTAGAACGAACCCCACCTGATAACATCACTGAGAACTGGTCGATTATCAAGAATGCTCTGCATTCTGCTGGCCTAGTTAGTTGTGGCCTGACACACCGTGTCGTGATACGCTGGATTTCTGCTGAGTCCCTGAGCCTTCTTGAAGCGCATCGGTCACTTCCGACCGGCAGCGAGCATAACGTAACACGGCATGTAATGAGAGGTGAACTTACCGTAAGCCTACGCAGAGATCACGAACTTTGGTGGTCTCCGCGCACATCAGAAATGGAACGTGCTGCCTCCATGGGAAATTTCCGTAAGCTGTTCTATCTCATTCGAGTCACATAAGAAAACTTTGGGTGTGAGCGAAACGATCTATGAAGCTGACAGTCCGCCCATTCACAATCAACTGCAATGTGTTGAACTCCGGGCGGAGCACAGTTTATCTGCCTACCAGCGTCAGCTTCTTACACAGCTATTCCGACACACATCCCATGGTCTGAGGTCGAAATCCTTAAGCTAATCCATGCCTTTGGACGTCACAAAGCGCCCAGATCCGATGGCCTTCCCCAGGTTTATTTAAAGATGGTGGATTAAAGGTCGTTAGAGAACTCCAAGGTTGGAACACTCAGCAACTTCCATCCTCGTGTCGTCCCCATCTTTAGAAAGGGCCCACGCAATGATTATGCCAATCATAGGGGTATAAGCGTGATACCAATAGCGTCAAAGCTGTTAGCGTCCGTCATTCTTCGTAGATTGTGCGAAACGCGTGAGAAACATGCCCGCGAGGAGCAGGCTGGGTTTCGTGCCAGTCGTGGCTGCATCAATCAAATCTTTACCCTTCCACCGTTTCATGTTATCCGTAACACAAACAAATCTCCAATAAGTATACAGTAAAACCAGCAAAAAATCGTTCATTCATTCCAAGTGCGGTCATGTCACACCTTGTCGACACTAATCACGGTGTAAACGTGATCGAATCGTTCCGACCCTTGTAGAGAATTAAAACCAGATGGTCTAGATACGTGCGATATCGCATTCTAGCCACAGCGAAAGCGGTTAGCATCCGTCTTCACCACCTCACTCTGTGTGCTCAAAAACAATTTGTGCAAGCACTCAAGCTCCCATGACCGGGTTGCCGACAAGTGATCCGTCATGAAGCATCGGAGCACATGATAATTGGGGACCAATTATGATACAAACTGTTAAATATTTTAATTGCCTTCCCTTTTTTCCCTTGTAAATCCTTCTCTGTTACTAGTCACGTTTATTGTGTTGTAATGGCATGAATAAGACACACTGAAAACGAGATTTTTGCCAATTTGTGTTCTCGTTATGAGCTCCGTAGGACTGTTTAAACATTATTTCACTTATCGCTTGTTTACAATTTTATTTCTGGATTGGCCGGTTTATTTATATCCCTCGGGGACGCCATGATTTGAGTATTAATATTATTAGTATTGTTATTATTTGCTATTGTTTGAATTCGAACAAACCTCGAAAACATTCTGACTTGAGTTCGGAGGCTGCGCACGTCACTCAACGTTTACCCAGACATTCGTACATATTTAAAAGCGATGTTAATGTTTCCAAGTCCGGATAGAAATTGCTATGCGATGAAATGGAACAATAAAACTTCGTCGTTGGTGAACTTCAAATCGAAGGCCGATCTGTTTCAGATGCACTGACAGACCGAGGATAGTGAACCCAGTTGAGGAACATACAATCCCATCGCTGCCATTGGTTTATTCATATTTCAACATGAAACACAATGACAACGGTCAACGGCGCAGGAAACGACCGTGGCACTCAGTTCGTTCACTAACCTTGGTAACGTTAAACTACACAGGAAGTATTTTAAAAATGACAATAATTATAATAAAATCTGACGACCCCAAAGGATTTCAATACTCTCAATCCCAGGACAGTTACATGGTTTGTGCTGCGATGCTACAGGAGTATATTTCCCATGTAAGGTTTGTGGTCCACGTCTGGGCAAAAGCCTGATGGAAACAAAACGAAAGAGTGATTTACTCGAACCGTGTTTGCTGCTTCCACTCCACCAGTTTCGTCTCAGTACTTAACGAAGAACCGTATAGATGGCAGGAATACGTTGAGCTTTAGCGGGGAGTGGGGAAGGGGGGGTAAGTTTAGTCGCACTGGAAAACTAAATCTAATTTTACGTGAGATATTGCGGGATCGCATGATTCTGGCATGAAGAAAGAACCAACAGACGGAGAATCGGGAACAAGAACGACCCTGCCATACATCAAGGACGTTTCGGAAATTTCAGTAAGGCTGCTCAGATCGTATAGAATCCAATTTATCCACAAACCAATCGCCTAAGGAGAATTCTGTCAAAACCAAAGGAGAGAACAATGGAGAAGGACAAGAGCAATGTTGTCTACAAAATAAACTGCAAGAATTGCTCAAAACACTATAAAGGACAAACTGGAAGAAAACCGTCAACAAGGATCCGGGAACATCAATCGGCAGTCAACAAACATGACCCACTATCTTTGATTTCCCTGCACAGAGATCAAGAAGGACATCAGTTTGACTTCGAATCAATGAAAATTATCGATCAAGCCCGATCAAAGCACGCCAGAGAATTTCTTGAGGTTTGGCATTTTGCAAACAACTCAATAAACAGGCACGTTGAGCTGGATCACGTGTACATGCCAATGCAACTCAAGGATCAAATGACGCAACAAAAGAGATCACGCCGTGACCTGAGAACGGACGGAAGCCGCAATCAGGGCGGAAGGACAAACCACTTCCCTTCCACTCCCAGCTTCTCGCAGCAGTTTAACGGCGAACCGAGTTGAACACAGTGAGAACAAGGGACCAAAGCAGTCGATGGAGAAAGCCACATATATAAACGAATGGGTCAAGCACAACACTGCCATTTCAAAAGCACTGGTGATGTTACCCTGGGCTGGTGATGAAAAGTTTACAAAACAAATTGTCAAGTTCAGCGAACAGGCGAAATGGAATATTTGAGGGTTCTTATAGTTAACAGCATAAATTGAAGTAAATTTGTTTACCAAATGATAATAAACAGGCTATGATGAGTCTTTATGGCAGCGAGTTTAGTGATTCAGTTTTACTCACCAGGTGGAATGGTTTAGAATGTAGCGGATACTGTACTGTACTGTAGTACCATTTCGTCAGTGGTGGTTGAGTTAAGAAGTAACTGAAGAGGATTAAACTATGTGTATTTACAACAGATTAACATTGGTAACAATAAAGATGTAAAGTTTGTATTCGCTAATAGTCGTTTGGCCTGCCTTTATTCCTTGGGACTCTTTCAAGTCTCTTCGGCATCGAATCAACTAACTTGGTTATGAGGTCAATCAGCATATTCTCAGTCGTGCCACTTATCATGCATCAAAATAGTTTCACTATTTCATTTCGCCTATTCGCCGAGCTTGGTAATTTGTTTGCAAGCGTTTCGTCACCAGCTGACGTGACNCAGTGCTTGTGAAGTGGCCACTTCAGGCAAACAGGCGAAATGGAATTCAATTCACCCGAGCTACGGGAACCGATTTTCATTACTTTGTCAACGGTTTCTTACTGACCTATTGCACATGTGAAAGTACCTTTTACGTTTGAACTTATTTAGACTGTCCTAGAAGAAAGTGTCATCAAGGCCGGTTTATACATTCCGTTTCAAATCCCATTTCCCCTGATTCATGATCTATTATGTTTGCGAGCTAAAGTTAACTGAAACAATCTAGTCTGTTGCACAACTGGCAATCACGCCAACACACCTTACTTACCGTAGATTTATCAAATTTCACACCATCACATCCTCCAATCACAACGTGAGATCAAACTCCACAGGCACACGTTGGTTGATGTAAATGCTTGAACAGCTCTAGAATGTTGTGCGCACTGAGCGCGCTGTAAGGCGGGAGCGTCCGCTAGATATCGATAGACGCACTGCACATTTTCTCGTTGTCTTCTTTTAATAGGGGGAAAAGTAAAAAAATTCACCGATCTAAAGTTATGATATAATTGATGCTACTGTTTCGTTTCACTTTTCCGTCTACATCGTTTGTGCCAGTTGAAAAATAAAGAAGGCGGAAGCATACCTTCTCGAATTCGAATAGAGAAGGCAAAAACACAGGTTTGCACAATTTATCCTGGATCATTTCGCTGCAACTGTACATGTGCATACTGCAATCTATGTGATAAACAATATATGGTCAGTAAATAACAGAATCATAAGCGAAGAAAGACTGCGGTCTAAATTACTCACCAAACACATTTGTTACCAAGGTTGGGCCAGAGTGATAAGCCATTCACGCTGTTTACACAGTCTGGGATAGTCATTTTGAATGGCTAGTGCCTCGGCGTATTTCAAGTCGGCCGTATGGGTCATTCAGATCTGTGCGCCAAAAGGATATATGGTCCGGACAGTATCTCCATTTTACTGACTTTATTTACTCCAATGGGATATAAGACTGATCTAGTTCGAACGCTCCTCTACAGAGTGCGACTGCTTTGCACAGCAGATACATTGGATAACTAATATGGCAAGATTAGAAAAGTTTTACAATCTGAAAGATATCCGAAAGGGTTCATCTTAGAGCATTCCCAACCCAACTGTACACGGGAAAAGATACCAGGTGCAGATAAGATGAGAGTGGTCCTACAACTACCCTTCAAGGGTGACGATATCAACTGCCTGATTGCCCAGCGCCTAAAATCAGCCGTTAAGTTCACCTACTACGCAGCTGCTTTCACAATCGCCCGGTTGCCAATACCATCGGTGAAAGAACCGCTAGCTCCGCACGCCAAATCTAATTGTATCTATCAGTTCGTCGGCAGAACGAAGAGACTGCGTTACCGAGCAACCGCGCGCATCCCGGTCTGGCTTCAGAAAACAATGAGTGAGATTTTCAGGTCACCAATGACCCGTCGGAAACTCAGCTCGTCAATCACACAACAACTGATCGAAATGAAACACTGTGACGTGCTGCGCGAGGCGTTCAGAATTCTCTACAAAACAAACAACACCAAGGTTCTGAAATACGCTGAGGCACTAGCCATTCAAAATGGCTATCCCAGACTGTGTAAACAGCGTGAATGGCTTATCACTCTGGCCCAACCTTGGTAACAAATGTGTTTGGTGAGTAATTTAGACCGCAGTCTTTCTTCGCTTATGATTCTGTTATTTACTGACCATATATTGTTTATCACATAGATTGCAGTATGCACATGTACAGTTGCAGCGAAATGATCCAGGATACATTGGGATCAAGCTTATTCCACGAGGTTTGCGCAGTCGTTGCGAGATCCCTTCTTAAAAATTGGAATGATCAGTGATTCGATCCAGGGTGATGGAGTGCGCTCGTGTGACCAAATGTTAGGTATTAGATCACTATTGAAGTATACGAGGTCATCGCCTCCCATCTTGAAAAGAGTGAGGGGAAGCCCGTCCGGTCCTACTGCTATACCTTACTTCAGAGCTGGGGTGCATGATCGAACTTCTGCAGTAGGAGTTTCACATGACATTGATCATGGAGCCGCAAATACAATAGACGATATAGTCCGGTTAGCACCTGGCCAGATGAATTGTTCGTTGAAGTACTCCGCNCCCACCGGTCAAGCCGTTGTTCCCTATTGTGAATAGCCTGCCTACCCACTTTTGTCGCAGATTGTTTCACTAAATGTGGTTCTCCGATCTCTAGTGTTGCGTATCAGTTGGAACAGACTTTCACTGTTCCCTGATGCAGCTGCGACTTCCATTTCACTAGCTATCGTCGCCCACCAGTTCTCACGATCTTTCTCGAGCCTCTTCTTGTCATTGCAGACGCCACCTACCCCTGCCTTGATCCCGGGTGGTGGGGATTTGCCGCTTTTTCTTCATCAGTGCTACTGAATCATCACATATCCAATTCCTCGGGCGGGCTACCGCTTCAGACTCACAAGCAACTCTCGCAGCGGAGTGCATTGCTCGTCTAATCTGATCCCATTGTTCATCTACACTACCACTCCACCGAGCGTTTAGCTCTTACCCTAGTTCTGATTCAAAACGGGCACGAACGGCTGGGTCAGGTAAGCGATGATTTGTCAATCGAGTTTAGCGGAATTCTCTGCGACCAGTGAACTGGAGACTGAACTGCATCAAAACCAACGCATGATTAGATTCAACACAGGTGGTCCAGTAGGACCTGCAGTTTTGTGCTGAACCACACCAACGGTAGCTTACTGCTATGTGGTCGATTTGAGCTAGCGTGCCAGTTGAATTTGAGTCCCACGTTGCTGTCCATTAAGAGCTGTCGGAAGTTAGTGCTGGATAGAAACAGATGATGATCTGCGCAGAACTGAAGAAGTCGATCGCCATTATCTGTTCTCTGGTAAGGATAAGCACAATAACCGCCTAGGCAAGCTTCCGATGCGCTCAGTTTTCCGATTTCAGTATTAAAATCATCTGCGAGAACAACTATATCGGAGCTTCGACTCAACCGAATGAGTTCAGTTAGCTCATCATAAAACTCGTCGTTTTGTGTGATAACTGCAGTTGGTCGG